GTAATAGCTTTCCATTCAGATGTGTTATTAAAAAGCTTTCTTCTGGAGCAATTGATGCCTTTCCAGGTGTGGAGTAGTTATTCTGGCATGCAACCTGTGAGAATGGAAAATGGCATCTCTACAGGAATGTACATGATGTACATTGTTTATTCCTCTAAATTAGGACAGGCTTTGGGGTGAGGAGGAAACTAGACATGACAAAGAACCTCCAGGGGAACAGGTTGTAGGTCCATGTCCAATATAGCTCTGGGGGATCCATCCCTATGAGATACTTCTGAATTATATAAGACATAAACTCATGTCAGGGCACCCTTTTCTTCACTTGGTCCCAATCAGTGGGCTTAATGAAGAGCTATTTTCATGAAAATTAAAATATTATTCCTATTACTATATAGTAATTCAAGTCCAAACCAAATTTACTGGGTTCCAGGCCGCTCTTTAGTGTCTCAGGAACATAAATTAAGATTGCAGTTTCACCTTAAGTTTTCTCCACAACCAGGTTAGGAGAACTGTGTGGTCTCTTTTCTGGAGAAATTTCTTCGTTTTTCAAACTCAGTTTGGAGGGCTAAGCAGACCCAGACATGAAACAAACACCTGGCTGTGCATATCTGGAGATTCAAGGCAGGATGTTGAAATCTCTTCACTTAACCCTCCAGCTAGAATGGTTTAGAAAGCTTATAAACTTCCTACCCACCCACTTCCTACTCTGCCTTGCTAGGCAAGCTATAATTTTTATTTTTAATGAAATCTAATGAACATGTCACCATACTGCTCTGCCAAGTAGATCATGGGAAGAAGATGGTTAGAGGTATCTTCTAAAGGGAGATTTCACAAGGATGAATCCTGCCATGCCTTGACACAGTGACCTCTCCTGGCATAACGGCTTTTGCACCAGGTGATCCTGCCATCAGTTCAGTGAGTGACTCATTACAGTTTTGAGTGATTCACACTTTTCTCCCTGTTGGATTGCACCATCCATCCTGGGATGAGTGAATAAATTTGGCTGGGACAAGCTGTGGAACCCAGCAGTCCAGGTTTATCCATTCACTTACTTAAGAAAAAGTCTTGTCACCTTGTTAAACTTGGATTTTAATAGGAAAAATTACATTGCTGGGGGTGATTCGGGACTCTACAGAAGCCAAGGAGTTTATGAGCCTGAATTCATTTTGTGCCACTATAGCCAGTAGGAAAGCAGTTGAATGGGAGCAGCCAGGATACAGTTCTTCCTTTATAATTTCACCTGTATCTTTCCCCTGGCATGTAGTGGTGAGGGACAGAGCCAAGTGGCAAGGTGGAAACACAAACAGCACACTTGGAACCTGGGTGTTAGTTTTGGATCTTGTCTAGAAATAACAGCCCGAGCACACAGTGAATTTATTGTGGCACATTGCATGGTTCTGCTGGAGAGAAAGGAAGGGAATAAGAAAATGACAAATATTACAGAGAAGTGCTCTGTTGGACCAGGATCAAAAGGCATATAATAATGGATAATTCCAAGGTACAGCTGCATTTGTTGGTCCCAGAAGAGAGTGGAAGAAAAGTTCGAGATTTATGGCAGTAGCATAGCACAACAATCAGGGAAGTCTCTGACTTCCCTGCTGAATTGACTTTTCTTTTCTCTTGGAGTTTCCTCTGGGCAACCAGCAGATTCTATAAACTGGACTGTTACACTGCCTTGATTTTTGACACTGTACAGATTAATAGGAGTAGTTCATTCTAGGTACCTTAATACCTGATATTTTAATCATGATGTGATTGACAATAGAAATCCCTTGCTTGCACTTTAACAACTCTGGCAAACCACCAGGAAGTGGTGGGAAGCATGAGTTTTTTGCAGCAGTTTTGGAAATTTCCTTTCTTTGAGGCTTTGTGCTGTGAAAGAGTTTATTTGGACATCCACACAAGAAAACACTAAAGGCATGGATGTCTTTCCATGTACACCCAGCTCTAGGAGAGCCCAGCAGCTCTGAGGTCTTGTCTCATTATTCTTAAGAGCTATATCCTACCTCATTTATTTCTATCATCCTATGGATTTATTCTAACCACCAGGATGGGTACAAGCACCCTTTCCACCAATTACTGGAGGAGATGGGCTCGCTTAGAGATCTATTGCTGCTCAAGGACATCTTTAAATGATTTCTGTTTAGATTATGTGTCCCTAAGCCCAGCATATTGGTGTAGCACAGCAACTCCTGTACTGGCACAGAGAAGCTCCAGCACTGGGGCCTTTCAGCCCTTGCCCACACTTTGATTAGTTATTGCTTCTGAAAGGATGTCCTGGTTCTTCTAGCGTTGCATCACTGTCATTTCCCCAAGCTCCTTCCTAGATAATAGCACAGCTGCCTGTTGGGAAAGCAGTTGCAAAAGTCTATTGCTCATTTTAAGTCATTGGATCTTGGGCTGCAGTGATTCACCCTCACAACGCCCCAAGAAGGGAATCTGATATCACTCTCCAATTTTCTGACAGAGAAGATGGGGTGTGGAAAGGTGAAGGATTTGCTTGGGGTCAGGCAGTGAGTCAGGCACAGAGCCATTGTCAGAGCACCCACCCCAGCTCTTCAGGCTTGCCTCTGTCTAGACTTTGATCAGCTTTGATGCTGGTCTTATCACCATCTTTTACCATGTCGTGGTTCAATCCTAGCCACCAACTAAGTACCATGCTCTGCCCCCTGCCCAACCCCTGTTGGAAAGACAGTGGTAAAAAATGTAAAACTTGTGGGTTGAAATAAGAATAGCTTAATAATTGAAGCTAAATAAAATATACTACTAGTAGTAATAACAATGACAATGAAGAAGAGCAAGATAGACAATAAAACACAAGAAAGGCATGTGATAAACACCACCCACTGAGAGATGCCCAGCCTGTTTCCCAGCAATCATCAGCTGCTCCTGGCCAATTCCTCCCAGTTTATGCACTGGGCATGGTGTTCTATGGCATGGAATGTCCCTTTGGGCAGTTTGGGTCAGCTCTCCAGGCCATGCTCCCTCCTGGTGTCTTGTGCACCTGCTCAGTGGCAGAGCACAGGAAACTGATCAGTGTTTGGGGTAGGTAAGCACTGCTGAGCAGCAACTGAAACAACAGTGTGTTATCAACATTGTTCTCATACTGAATCCAAATCACTAGTTAGAAGGAAATTAATTCTTCCAGCCAAAACCAGGACATAACATCAACTTTGGAACCTCAGCATCTCCCCTCCCTTCACCATTTGTGAGGAAATGCCTGTATCCTCAACTTGTAACAGAGGGCCTGAGATGCCAGAGACAGAAGAAATGTTCCTACCTGCTTGGAGAACATCACAGCCCACCATATTTTTTGCTCCTCACCTTTCTCTCTTTCTGGTCTGATGGCCCTGCCTTACTGCCAGGGAGGGAATGGGGAATTAGCCTAAATAAATCTCAGTAAAACTACACCACAGAACACAGCATCTACACACTGGTGGACATGTGTTTTAGCTTGGGAACTGCCAAAAGGGTAAAAAACCCAACATACAGCTCGATTTCTGGCTGTGATAGCTTTGATAAAGCATCAGGATAAAAGGACAGGGCATAATATAAAAGAGAGAGGAGTGCAGGAGGAATTGAGGAGCTCCCATTGCCCTGGTGATGCACTGCAAGATGATGAGGGGAGATACGGAGAAAAAGTTGAAAATGGGTGTCTTTAGCACTGTTTTGCAAACCCCAGCTGCAACAAGCATGGGGCTGATGGAGCACTCACTGTGCTTTGGAGGACCCCATTGATGCTGGCACTCTCAGACTGGGCTTGAGCACAAAATAATGAGGAAAGTTTCCTGCCCCTGTAATTATGTTTGGACTTGAGTGTTTCCCTGTATTTGATTCCTCACACATTATTGCTTTCTTAGCCACATTCCTGCCTGCTTCTCATGTTGGCTGCAGTTTCTGTACAAAATAAAGGCCCATTCACCACTGTACTAAAACGCTCTGGTTTTTCCACATGAAAGTTGATGGTTAAATAAGAGGAAGAGGAAAAGCTGGGCATCTGTGGCTTTGCAGAGAAGGCAGGGGAACAAATCAAAGAAAGGGGTCCCTTTCAGTCCTGAAAATTCAGCCCTGCTTCTCTGTGTCAAGACCTGGTGAGTCAAGGAGCCCAGGGAATTTTTACTACTCATTTAACAAAAACCAGATGCCATGAGCTGCACATGTCCTGTTAGCAGTCCTCACCTCAGATGGTAGGGACTGGGACTGTTTTCATCCAGGCCACCTTGTGGAATAGTCCTAGAGTGATACAGGATGTTACTGACATTGAAAAGGCAGCAAGGATTGTTTCCTGTGTGGCTTGGCAAGTCTGTGGGCTCCTCACTGAGGTCCTGTGATAGGGACTGGCTCTGCACTGGGTGTCTCATGTCTTTACAGCTTTCAGGAGGACTGGGCTGCAAAGGCTCTCCCAAAGCTCTGGGAGGGTGAGATAAATTGTAATGACGCAAAGGAGTTTAGACCCAAATGTAGATTTTCATGGAAAGAGGTTTGGTCTTGTTCACAGTGCCAGCTTTAGCCAGGTAATTGCTGGACCTCGGGGGAGCCTCGGACTGAGCTGTGGGGGTTCAAACCCTTCTGCCTCCCAGTTTTGCTGTCAAAGCACCTACAGACTCTGAATCAGCACAGGAGCACACATCACTTTGCCACCCTGCAAGAGCTTGGGAGGGAGAGAAATCTGGACTCAGGGTACCACGCTCACACAAATGCGGAAGGCACTGCTCAGTCTGTGCATTTAACTGAAGATGGAGAAGGGCAGGTGTGGTCCTGTATTTTAGGTGGTGATGAAAACAGCAGTGGCTTCAGCAGGACACATTTCCTCTCCTTAGGAAGCTCCTGAATCTTTTGCTCAGCTATGCAAGCACTAAGGAAAATGAAAAAACCACCCACGCCGTCTCATGCTGAAAGGCAGTGAAAAAAAGTTGGGCTTGAAGAGCGGGTGGAAGGGGTGTGGTTACCCAGGAGGTGTGTCAGGCATCGATGAACTTATTTATAAGCAAAGGCAGCTGTGCTGGAGAGGAAACTTTGCTGAGGCTTTTTCAGCTGCTGCTTGTTCCCTGACACCACTTGAGAATCACCTCTACTGCAATGGGGCGGCAGAAGGACATTCTTGCTACCATTGAGGAGCATCTGAGGATCAGAAACAAATTAGTGCGGCAAGCGCTGGCTGAGTGCTTGGGGACACTGATCCTAGTGGTGAGTGGGGGCTGTAGTGTGGGGATGCTCTCTAACCCATGGGTTTGGGGGAAATTGTCCTGGTGAAGGAGCTGTGTTGCTGCCAGGGTTTGCATTGGGAATAAGCCCAGCTCTGGGGCAACCTGCTGCAAGGGGTCTAGAGGACAGTCCCTGTGCACAGAAAAAAAAATCATGCATATTGCTTAAAGATGGCTATTGGGATTTCTCTCAAAATATGGGCTCTGAAGAGCTTGTTGGGTGTGTGGGAGCTTCTGTGTATCTGTGAAGTGCAGGGAGCAAAACACTTCTGTGTAAGTAGCAAGTATTTTGCTAGGATCATGAAAAACTTCCTTTCTGTCTGCCCTGGAATATTTTCTTGGCTCTGAAATATTCCAAGTGCTATCACCTGAGGAAGTGAAAGCTTTTATTATTTTTTTTTCTGTTTTCCTTCCCCCATGGATCCCATAATGAAGTAGCCAAAATTTAAACTGTTGCAGTGTCCTTTCGCCGTCAGCCGCTGATTCCCCAGGGGCTTGTCAGCGGGGCTGCACGCCTGGTGCTTGCTATCAGTGTGTTTTTCAGTGGTCAATGAAGAAAAAAACCTCTTCTGCCTGTTTTAGTGCTCAGTTTCCAAAGGGGTGGAATATAAGGGATAAAACTGGATAAGTGTGTGTCTAAGTGCCTGCAAATGTTTTGAGCGGCCACAATTTGCTTTAAAGACAGATATGAACAGCTAGGAGAGTTGTGTATGAGCTGTGTGGAGTAAATACTGGCGTAGAAAAACAGTGACAGGGATATCTGGCTTAGAGCATCTGCGTCTGAAAATGCAGGACTGCCCAGTTGGCCACGGGTTTGGTGCATATATATCGGGGCAAGAAATGACTTGGTGTTTGCACAGTGAATATCTGCAGGTACAAGTTCCTCTGAGGTGGTGTAAATCCAGAGCAATCCAGAAGGCTTCAGTGGAGTCACTGTGGGTTTGCAGCTCTTTGTAACTGGTGGATGAACTGCTTGGAGAGAAATCTAAGGGTTGGAAGAGCTGAAGGCAAAGGAAGGCTTGATGAAGTTGCATGTGCACCTGGGGGACAACACAAGACTGTCAGAATTTTATGCTTTCGTAAATAAGGATTTTTTTCTTTATGATGAAGAGAGGATTTCTGAATCTTCTATGGCAGCTTAGGGGACTCTGCTAAGACTATAAAATGCTACCACTTTTAAAAGAAAGCAGCTTTGCATGGTGCAATGGCTTTATTGTCAAAGCGACCCAGCTTTGGTGATTTGGAAACAAGTCCTGTTGATTTTTCCAGGAAGGTTTGTTTGGAATTAAGGTGGGTAGAAGGTGATAGGAAAGTGATTAACAGTTAGAAGACATTCTGTCTATGAACCACTGATGTCGCTGCTGTTAGTCTTAGTGTTGAAACAAAGTAAGTTTTGTAAGGTGGATTAATTCCCCCTGACAGCAAAGCTAATATTCCTGAGGAACAAGATAAGCCTTTAGCCATTTGGGTCTGAGCTTTCAGAAGGGCTCATGATCCACTAGTCTATCCTCTGACTGTAACACTTAGCACAACAGTGACTACTTTTCCGTAAACCTTGCCTCTTCAGGCAGAGGGGAATTGGGATCTGCTCCTGAATGAGGAGCTTGAGGAAGGGTTCAGTCCAAAATTGTAAGCAGCCTCCAAAATGAGAGTGGTAATGGGCACCCATCAGCCATGCTGGATGCTGCATTGGCAGAAGTGGACAGAACATGCCTTGTCCTCAGGGGCATCAAACCTGCTCTGTTTTAGTGTATGTCTAAACTTACAGGCTGAGCCTTCACCGTGTTCAGGAGCTCCAGAACTGGTTTTAGTGACACACTCAACTCCATCTTGTAGGACTTGCAAACTCGCTGAGGATCTCCTGCAGCAGCTCTGCAGTGGATGTGCTGTGGGCATTCTGTGTCCCTGGGGGAGAAGGTGGGGTGGGCCTGTGGGAGTAAAGGCAAAGTCCCAAACTCAGTGAATGCTCTTGCATGGTTAGAAGTCCAGTGAGAGGGAAATGGGTTCCAGGACTGCAAGCTTGCAATATCCAAGCCAGTCAATCCCTTTCGAACTTTGTACTGTCTCAGTCAATTTGTCTTAATGAAGGGAAACATGCAGTTTTATTCTTTGTTACCACCCTGAGTCCTTTTCATCTTTTATATCACCTACATGAAATAGAAAGAGTCTTGAAGGTGAATTCCTTCCCCTTTCTGTTGGCCTCAACAATTGCTTGAATTGGACTTCTTCAAAATTGTCATTTTGTACCTTGCAAAAGTACCTGCTGCCTACCCTGCCAGCATGTTGAGCTGTGTGTGTGTGCATTTAGATGCATTGTACCCCGGTAAATATCTGGTTTGGGCTTCACAGTAAAATGCCTGAGGAAAGACCTGAATCTGTGAAGTTTTCCTCATTGGATATGGAGTTGGCTAAAGAATTCTTTCAGGGATGTATTTAAGATTTTATATTGTTCACACTGAAATCAACTTCCTGAGCCCCAAGGGAGGGAGACTGTTTAAAGTTTGCAGCTTACTTTAAATTTCACTGTGTAATGTAAAACTTGTCCCAGTGTGGATATTGGCACCGCTTCAGCTTCTTGCCCCCTCCCTTTCACTTGCACAATGACTGCAGCTCTCTCAAACTCTTCTAGACCAAAGCTATTGCAGATCCTTGCATAGCCTTGCTGCCTGTAAGAATAAACCTAGTGCTTGATTTTATTTTTCTCATTTTTTTTAAAGAGATTGTGAAGGTAGAATCATCGAGTAGTTTGAGCTGGAAGGGACTCTTAGATTAGTGCCTCTTTTTTGTTAAGAAAAATAATCCATCTAAGGCAGCTGAACCCTGAGGAACGCCAAGGCGGGGTGCTGTCTACTTGTAATCTACTTTTGCCATGCAGAGCACCTTGCACAACTTTAATTTAGTTTTTGGGTGGTGTCTATATTGTTGCAAAAATAGTAATGCTAATTCTACATACATTCCCTTTGATACTTAAATTGATGTTTCCCCTCTTAAAAATTCAGTTTCTGAGTGGCACTTTAGGGATGAACTTCATACCTAAGTTGGAAGCACCGCTTGCTGGCAGTTGTTAAGCACTACAAACACTGAAGGCATTTTCCCAGTCCCTTGCTGTTTGTGTTATTACTGTAGCAACCCACTAAAGCCAGATTTCCATGGTGGGTCTCCGTGCCTCTCTTAAGGCTCGGTCTGTTTGCCTTGCTCTGCTAGCTGTAAATACCAAAGCTGGTTCTGTTTGTCTTTTACATTTGCAGGAGAAGTAATGTACAGATTATGACTGATTTCCAAGTGGGACTCACTGTGAATCACTGCTGTACAGGCACAAAGAAGGAACAAAACAATTCCTAATTGCTTTTCAGTGGGTGCTGCCTTGACTTTGTGGCTAGGTGGTAACTTTTTGGGGTATGACTGTGCTGTAGACCACAGAAACAAAAACAGCAAAGTGGTTTGGATGACCACAGCAAGGTGAGCTTCACCTAAGGAATCACCACAGCAAGAGGAGCCCCACTTAGGTGCTGGCAACTTAAAGCTGCTGCTCATCCCACAGCTGTCTGGTGCAGCACAGTAGTTCCCACAGTTGCTGCTTGATTTGGGGTGGTTTGCTTAAATCCAGCTGGTCACACTTGGAAAATGTAATTTTAATTTTTTTTCTTTTAATTTTTAAAGAAAGTTCTTTTCTTTGTAAATGCTTTGCTAGGCTGTAAAAGAGAGTGGAAATTCTTGATGTAAGCATGTTGAGAGCTGCTGATTCTCCCTTGCAAAAGGTCTGTGCTGCTGGGTATGGGGACATGGGAAGTGGCAGCAGCTTTCCCTCAACCCTTCTACCAGAAGAGGTTGAAGCTCTTCACTAACTGTCCAAAACTGTCCCTTCTTGCTGTCTCCCTCCAGGAGCAGGACATTTCTCCTTCCTACAAACAGGACAGTTCAGGCACCAAGACTTTCCCTTGGTGGGAAGGCAGCTTTTCCCCAGGAGTGCCCAAACTTGTGACCAAATCCCTGCCAGACATACTGGTCCTTCTAATGGCTAAAACCTCTTGTTCTGAACAATGGTAGGGACATCAGAATAGGTGTTTTTCATTCTGTGTATGTGTCAACAACCTAAACCAGTGAATTTCCTCCCTAATGCCCAACTCCTCTCGAAGCTGAGCTTGAAGCTTGAGCTGAGGGAGGCTCGTGTCTCCAGCTCTGTGCAATGTCTTTTGTAGCATGTGCTGTATGTGGGGCACAGTTTTGCTTGGAATTTCTCTTCTCTCCGGCCCTGCAGCCCTGCCTTGGCTCTGGTTCAGTGGGTGGTGTGTAAAGAGCTGTAACATAACAGACCATCTGCTGCTGCCCTTCCTGCAGGGCTGCTTCTGCACAAGCTGCCTCCACCTGTGCTGGACAGAAAACTGGGTATGGGGTCTAAGGTTTCTCCTTGCTTTGCAAATTGAGAATGATGATCAGCCTGGGTTTTGAGAGATGCTTTGAAGAAAAGCATAAAGGATAGTGCTTCTTGCATTGTCCTTTTGGCCAGTGGAGTGTGAGCTGTGGAGTTCAGGATCTCTGCATGCTGCTCTTGCTCCCTGCCTTCTCCCCATGAAGAGTGGTACCCTCTGTGTGTCCAAAACTTAAAATCATCCATCAGTCTCTCTGGGTCTCCTCCTTCAAAGCAGATCCGTGGTTTGACTGCCCTCCTGGCATCTTCCTCATTGAGGGATGACCAGTTTTTCATCCACCAGGGTGATTAGGGTAGATTTACAGTAAGCTTCTTGCCTAATCCCTGGTTTATTTGCTGGCAGAAGAGTTGTAATTGAGGTAATTGCACTCCTCCTCACCTATGCCAGCAAAACTTTCCCATCTACATTTAGAGACCAGTCTGTCTGAAGTCCAAGAGTAAATGCACTCAGGCCTTTTTGGTTGCACATGAAGGTGTAAAAAAGCCCTAGCAAAGAAAAGAGGAGACAAAAAGGAAAGAAACCTGGCTCTTGTGCAGAGGAGCTCTGAGCACCACCTTCCTTCTGAGCTCACATATGAAGCTGTTTTCCACAAGGTCTGCCTAAATAGGCTGTCTTCGGAATCCTTGTTTCTTCATGAGCTATTGCCACTTTTTTAACCTCATGGTTCTTTCCTACCTGGCTACTGGACTTTCGTGTGTTCAGACATTGAGACAGGGTGTTTTTATCTTGAGTGACAAAGCCAGCTGCTCAGTTTCCAAACATGCAGTGGACACAGGGAGCTCAGGGTTACCTGGGTGTGACATATCCCCTGCAATGTGCTACCTTTTCCTGCTACTTGCTGCTGCTTCTGGCTGGTGCCTCCTTTGTACAGGGGGAGTTCTCCCCTCTGGAGTCTGTCAGCCCCACTGCTCTTGAACCCATAGCTGCAGAACAAGGATTTAGTTTTTTTCCCACAGTGCAAGAAGTTGAATCACCCCATGAGCAGTGAGAAGCCTCCCTGTTAGATTTGCTAGAGTCAGTAACATGAAATTACGGAGCAGGCTTCCATTAACCTGGTTAATGGGTGCATTGACCTCAATTCCTTGGAGAGTAGGTTTAATACATTGGAGTGATGCTTTATTGCGAGCATTTTATGAGCACTTTAAAACTATTTTTTGACTTGGCTAGTGAATCATGGGTGTATAACTGTTGACTGCTGCACCTACAGCCATGGGAGGTGCTAACCTGGGTTTCTGTTGGCTGGATGTTCTTCCAGAAGTGTTTTTTACACAACAACAAAACCAAAATACAACCCCCCCACAAAATCAAAGCCAAACAAATCAGAAAGCAAAACAAAAACCCAACAAATGCAAATGAAAAACAAAACCACAAAACAATATGGTGTGGGAGGCAGGTTATTAAAATCAAAAGAATGGGGTATCATCTCCCCCTTAGGTATGCACCACTGTCCCTGACCACAGCGGTACAATATTGCTGAAGAACTCTTAAATACATTGCATGGACTTAAAAGACTGAGGAAAATGTTGAATTACTTTTATCTGACCTTCCTTACCTTTAAACCCAAGTTAGACATGCCTGAAAAGTTCTCTGTGAGCAGTAGACAAACAAAACCTAAAAAATGAAAGCTGAGGTTCTCTGGTCTCATCTGACCTGGGAAAAGGAATTGGAAGGAAAACTAGCAAAGAGCAGAAGTGAAAGTGGTGTAATTAAAGTTTTTTGTATTAGCTACTACCCCAACAAAACTGTGTAGTGTCAAGGTACTTGCCACAAAAGCCCTGGGCAAGCACGACTTGAACTTGTTCCTTAAAGTCAAATGCCTTGGAGGGATGTAATGCATGACACTGTATTTTTGTGTTTAGTGGACTCCACTGGTGCAGGATGGAATTGATCACATGCATATCAAAGTTCAAACCTGTCCCTAAGTATCACTACACTCCTTTTATCTGCTGAGGGTTAAGTTTTCTACTGTTACACTGAATTAAGCCCAGTAGTGCTCTTGGCTCATCTGATAAACAGTTGTAATGGTCCCGTGGAGTGGCTTCAGGGTGTTTTTGCATGGCCCATAGACTCCCTTCTGAGGAAAAGCTGGAGAGCTACTGCCAGGTGTAGGATGGAGGTGAGGAGGATGGGGAATGACCTCTTGAGATAACCTCTTCAGGAATGGCAGAGCTGGCATTCCTCCAGCTTAAGGGAAGACCTTTGTGGGTGATCAGGGAGGTGGGAAAACTTCACTCTGCGGTTTCTGCAACAGAAAGGTATGTGGATAACAAGCCAACCACCTGCAGAACTGCCAGTTCTTACAGAGTGAATAACACAAATACTTTCATCACTAGGGATCACCTGGGGTCAACTCCACCAAACTCAGGTTTTGTGGGCTTGTCCCCTTCCTGGTCAGACTGATGTGCTGTGTGGCCTTTGAGAGGCAAACACCACAGCCATGTACTCTCTGAAATTTCTGCAAAGCTTGGTGGGGCTTTTTTGGGGAAAGGGAGAAACAGGATTCGCCCTGGTCATTAGCCTGTCCTTATTTGCTCAGTTGGAGCTGTGCTTCCCTTGGTGGTTTGGGCTTAGCTGTTTCTGTTTGCTGTCAATAAATAATTATTCTTTTCTGCTTTTGTCTTGGAGTCTCCTCTGCCATGGTTTTCCAGCTTGGTGAGGACATTGTAGGGGCTGTTCTGACTGTAACCAGTAGAGAGCAGTGCTGGCCATCCCTCCATCACTGAGTACAACAGGTTCCTTTATTCTTTCTTACACAAGGCCCTTGTGTTGGGTACCTGGTTCCTTGTCCAGAGGCATCTGTGTACACAGTGTCCACCCCATGAATCAGCCTGCAGCCTACCTGGCTGCTCCTTTCCAAGCAAACTGAATGCAGATTTTCCCTTGTTAGCAATTCTTCAGTCAACAAGGACATGGGAGGGGATGAGTTACATGTGTTTTGTCCTTGCCTCTGATTTGGGTTGTGTGTTGCTCAATGGGCACGTCCAGTGTTGGCTGAAGAAATGATGACAGCAAGCCTGGCCACCTCGGTGCCTATTTGGTGGCTTATCCTTATTAGGAATTGATACCTGTTGATACTCTGTGGCAATTGAGTAATTATGGGATGATGGAGTTCATGGAAGCAGAAAGTCTTTGTGGGGGTGTAGTTATGGGTATGTGGTCAGAAGAAATAAGTCAAGCCTTGATCCCTAGATTTGAGCATCTCATGAGCACACTGTCCTAGTTTAAGGATCCTCTGAGTACTTGCCAGTGTGGTAATTCCAAGTGGTAATATACCAAGGGTCAGTTCAGGTGGAGCCAGTGGCAGATGCAAACATACAGATGATCAGGTTTAGAGTTCTCTAAATTACATGTTGGATAGTGGAAAGACTTGCCAAGATAGAAAGCCTGCAGCTGGGTGACTGAGGAACTGAATTGCCGGGGGAAACTGGTTTGAATTGTTAAGGGGGAGCATAGGAATGAGGCCTTTTGGGTGCAGTTGGGAAGATAAGGATTACCCTTGGATATGTTGAGCAAACATCTTTAAGCTAGACCTCCCTTAGCTACTAGGAAACAGTTTTATCACCCAAAGCAAACAGCTTTTGTCAGCCAGTGTGTATGGTTTGGTGTACCCCTGATCTTGGACAGAAGGCCAAGACTGGCTGTGCTGGTAGAGTCTCTTGAATGTGGATTTTTCTTGATGGAGACTGAAAAGAGAATGCCATGAATGTCAGGCTGAATGTGGCCTTCCTCAGCCATGACTGTATTTCCAGACATTGACAGAATTGTTCCCTACTAATCTATGTGCTACTGGGTCAAACAATTATTAGCCTTTTTAACAAAAGTACACAGATCCTTCATTAGAATAGTTGTACTGTAAATATCTCAGACTAGGATGATATCTGGCCCATCCTTCTCACCTGCCATCTTAAAATTAGATGTTTGAACAAAAAAATCTGGAGTCCTATAGATCCATCTTGCTTTTAATTTTTGCCCTGTTTTTGGCGCATCCTGCCAGCAGATAGATTTGTCCGTGCTCTTTCTTCCTCCCTCCTATCTCTAGAGAAAATGTGCAGATACTTTGACCCAAGATAGATAGCTATGAAGGCTTTGAGTTGAGAGTGTACTGTGATGGCCCATGATGGTGTAAGGGGAGCAATTGCAGGCATAGGTCTGCAACTGGCCCTGATGTGAAGCAGAGAGAGTAATTCAAATCTCTTTTTCTCCTCCTAGCTCTTTGGCTGTGGCTCAGTTGCGCAGATCATTCTCAGCAGAGGGACCCATGGAGGTTTCCTGACTGTCAACCTGGCCTTTGGCTTCGCTGTAACGCTCGGCATTTTGATCGCAGGGCAAGTGTCAGGTATGTGTGGCTCCCTGTAGGCTCAGTTTCACTAGTGTCAATTGTTGTGTAGGCTTGCCTTTCCTGTATGGCACTGGTATGGAAGCTAGTGCCCCTTGGCACAACTCTGGGACCTAAATTCTGCCCGTAAAGGTACACTAACCACCAACCTCTCTGCAGGTGGACACCTGAACCCAGCTGTCACTTTTGCCATGTGTTTATTGGCCCGGGAGCCCTGGATCAAGCTACCAATTTATGCCCTTGCACAAACCCTGGGAGCTTTCCTTGGAGCTGGCATAGTCTTTGGGCTGTACTATGGTAAGTGTGGAAATCTCATGTCTTTTTTGAGGTGAGACTACTATGTTTGTGACTCACTGCAGGGAGGGAGATTTCCACATCAGAGAGGAACACTTTCCTGCAGAGCAGAGGTCCAAGAAACCTCCTTAACTGTGTTTCTGGGATGGCTTTCCTATTCTCATGATGATGGGTTCAAGCCTCCTCAAAGCAATCTGAAGACCAGCCAGCATTGCTAAAATGCAAGACTTGGCCCTTGAGTAATGAATGCTGGACCTCTGGATGGCTTTTGATGGATACCCTTTTGTATCTACTGGTCTTCCAGAAAAGTCAGTGAAACACTAGCTGTGATGGAGGTTTTATATCTGTTTGCTGTTCCAGAGCCATTTTCTCATTCTTGGCTTAAAACAAATGTAAGTCTTCACTGTGATGTAAAATGTACTTCACTGTAATGCTCTAAAGACAACCTTGAGAGTTGTAACTACGAAAAGTGAATGAACAGCCCTGTTTGCTGATCCGTATCACTCTGTCATGTCTTCACACCAAGACTGATACCACAGGGGTTTGATTACCTTTGTGAGAGAGAGGGAGTTGCCTTAGTGTTTTCTTTTTGACTCTCTTTCTTGATGCTTGGCAAATAATTGTTAGGAACAGGGACTAATGCCATCTGCCTCTGAGCCTGGCTGGTAAAAAAGCTGTGGTGGACGATGCCCTAACTTTTCCAAATGAGTGTTTGCTCTACAGAAAATGATTTTAATTTTTTCCTCCTTCACGACCTCTAGATGCTATCTGGGCTTTTAACAATAACCAGCTCAGTGTTACAGGAGTGAATGCCACCGCTGGTATTTTTGCCACCTACCCATCTGAGCATCTGAACGTTGTGAATGGCTTCTTTGACCAGGTAAGAGGGTGCTAGGAGGATGAAAGTGTATTTGAAGAGGAATCTTTTGGGTGGTTATGGGACTTATCTTTAGTTAGAAAATGAATTGCAATTTAAAGATATCCAGAAAGGTTTTACCTTGACACAGGTGTCTCACTAGCCCATAGTAAGAGTAGGGCCAGAAAGGACCTTACAGCCAGAAGGCTTGTGCCAAGACATTAATGAGTGGTACAACACTGGTCAGGACACCAGAGAAAAGAATGCCATTTGCTTATAGTCCCTGGAGAGCCATAGTGTGAGGAATGGAAACTCTTCCTCACTCTCCCTCTACTACTGTGGTTGTGGTACAATCCAGAGCTGGGTGTGGGGTGGTGGTTGCTGTTGAATGTGACTGTCTCCTAAAGTTGCTATCAGCCACAAAAGGGACAACTTCTACCCAGCTATGGCACGTGGGAAGGAGGTTTAGGAAGATGTTTTCAGCTTTTATGACTGCCTAAACAGCTGTTCATGACTCTTCTGGGGTAGGGAAAAAGGTGTGATCTTGATTAAGATCCATAATTAATCTCTTTATTGTGATTGATTATGGCTGCCATAATCTCAAGAGAGGAGCATGCTCCACTCTTGTATTACCATGCCTGCTGTGGTCTGATAGTGTTCATGGGATGACTTGGTGCATCTCTTCCTTTTAAGAGAATCACATCCCAGAGAAGTTAAATAACTTGGTTTGAAGACGAATCTGGATTAAATTCTTGTTTTCCTTCCCCATCTCTCTCCAGTTCATTGGCACTGCCTCCCTGATTGTTTGTGTCTTGGCTATTGTTGATCCCTACAACAACCCCGTCCCCACTGGGCTGGAGGCTTTCACAGTTGGCTTTGTCGTCCTTGTCATTGGAACCTCCATGGGCTTCAACTCTGGCTATGCTGTCAACCCTGCCAGGGACTTTGGGCCTCGTCTCTTCACAGCCATTGCTGGCTGGGGCACTGCAGTGTTCCAGTAAGTGCTAGATGATGAAAACCTTGTGCATCAAGGGGAAATGGATTATGAGTCCAAAGAGATGGTAGTGCTGGCACTATAAAGAGTCTTGGCAGCCATGAGGTATCTTTGGATTGTCTAAATGCTGCTAAAAGGCACTGCTTTTCAACTTCTTAAGAAATCATGGAAGCTGGGGAGCTTCCAGCGGTGAGACCAAAGGACATTGCTATCAAAGAGGAAATCTAGGAACATCCTTGAGAATTTCAGTTGCACCTTGAGCATGAGCACATCATGATTTTTTAATGGAAAAAAATGAGAAGTGTTTGTTGGTTTTGGAGACAATTAAGAGAGCCATGTTATCAAGCATTGCAAGCAAGCGGGAGGGAATTGAAGGTGCCTAGTGTAGGCATAACAAATGCTTCTCTCCTTTCTTGGTGGAGAGACTTGGTAGTCCTGAAAGTAGCTGTGTTTGTGTGTGTGTGGCAACATCTGGAAGCTCTGCAGATGTGCAGGTGCTATGGTGTTGTGCAAGTGGGTGGTGATGGCTGCAGAGGGTCAGATCTTGCATTGCTCCAGATCCAAGTGAAAATATCCTAATGCTTAGGCAGCAGTTCTTACCTTGTGCACTTTCTTTTTTGTTTTCCAGGGCTGGTAAGCCGTCCCACTGGTGGTGGGTTCCAGTTGTCGCTCCTTTCCTTGGGGCAGTTGCGGGAGTGATTGTCTATCAGCTGACAATTGGATGTCACGATGAGCCTTCTCCACCTGCCTCTGAGCAGGAAACAGTCAAGCTGGCTAACGTGAAGCACAAGGAGAGGGTCTGAGGAAGCTGCCACACCGATCTGGCAGGTGTTCATTACTCAGGACTGCAGCTGGCAAAAAGGAGACGTTAAGAAGAGCTTCAAGAACAACAGGAAGAGTTTTTTACCTGTCTTGAGATATTCCAGTAATTTTTTTGTTTTGTTTTTATATATCCCTGACATATTTGCTTTTGACATTTCCTTGTGAGCCCTCCTCCAAATGCAGTATCATGTAATCTTTTCCTAATAGAAGGGGATTGAAGACTGTAGGAGTCAGGAGAGAAGTGGGAATTGCAGTCCAACATAAATCAGGTGTTCAGGAATTTGAAACTCTTTTGAGCTATGTTGCTGACATTGCCTGTGACCTTGGCAAGCTGCTTCCCTTCAAACCTGTGTTCCAATCTGTAGAATGGGGATCATGCAAAACAAATTGTTTTGCTGGCATGGATTGGAAACTCCTACATCCTGGAGGAAATTTGCCTGTGATTCTGTGGATCAAATTCTGCTTGATGTTGCTCTAAAGTCAGTACTTTCACACCAGGAATTAACTAGTCTAGAGGATTATTAGCCAAACTTTTATATCTCTTATGAATTCCTAGATATTGTATCAGTCAGCTGATCCACAATGTCAGTGCAGCGAGTAACACTGCATTGGATTTTCATTTAATTTTAAGACTAAGTGTTTACAAAGAAGTGCACCCTGGTGTTCTAATCAAAATTTTTAGTATTGCCAAGTCCTAGAAGATCACATCTAGGAAGTCCTTATTCTAACCAAGGCTAACTTAGACAGAAAGCTTGGCTCCCAGAAGCAGACTTTCTAATTAATCAGCTTTGTATATAAACTGCAAGCAGCTAATAGCCAAGATCCACTGGAAACATAGTGTTGCTTGAGTTGCGTGTGTTCATGTAAATTTTACAAAGGTGTTGTTGGGTTGGTTTTTTTTTTTGTTGTTTTGTTTTAGTAGATTTATCTATAAATATGCTCCTTAAAGCTGTTACAAAATACCAAGGTTGGGATGAGTTCATTTAGAGATGTATGGGAACTGCCGATTCTCTGTCAGCTTTGAGATAATTTTGGGTTTTCCTGGGATGGTCTTGGATTACGGCATTGTGGTTTTTGGAGCACTTCCTTTTCTACCTTGCAGAATAACTGGGATATCCCTGGTACTCATGGTTGAGGGACTGAGGTCAGGCACCTCCTGTACTAGCAGTACTGGCATCTCAGGGGATCTCTGGCTCTCCCAATGCCATAATATTACAAAGTATTTGAAAAAAAAATATTGTTGTGAAAGAATTTGTAAGTCCCATGCAGTAGAGAAACTTTTTAAAAGCCTATTTCTTTAATGCATAAATTAATTGAAAAATGTATCTTTGTACACATTTCCAGTCACTAAAAGGATGTATTCTTTTTTTTTTTTTCCTTTTTAAAAAAATAAAATGTCAATACCCATGCTGTGAAATGCTAGTGTTGGTTGTATTTTTAAGCAGCTGTCAGCAAACTTCACCATGAAAAGGAAGTCATCTATAGCAATAGCTTCCTTTTCCTCTTCAGCCTGGGCAAAGGGGAATTAACCCTTTCAGGCAGTACCTCTACATGCTCCATTTGCATTTTATTCCTTTCCCTTTTGGGGTGTGATTTTGAGGCATGTGGAGGAGAAGGAGTAGCTGTGTTCAGTATAGTGGCCAAGGTATGGGCTGGGCACAAGATTGTCCTGCTGTCAGGCAACTTATTCTTAAGGCAAAAGAACAGCTGGTTAAATATTTGTCCTTCACCCATTGTAGAATTTAAATTCCCTTTCTGTTCTTAACATAGTTCTGAATGTGAAATCCTACTCTGCCTTCATCTACTGTCCAGCCCCATCTAGCATATTACGAATCAGTTTTTTTTTCTGTAGCTATGCCAGGCAAGGAAAAGTACAACAGACCTGAACACAGTGCTCACGGAATTAGACAAGCAACTTTCCTATAAATAAAATTCTTGTTTCTCTTTGGCTGGTGTGTGTACTGCTGTATTTTTCCTGTATTAATTATGCTGCCTTAAAATAACTCCTCACTTCCCACATGGTGCCATACTGAGGAATTCAGTGAGGTCTGGACGAATGTGGTTTCCTGCAATTCACTAGCTAGGAATCAAATGGCTTTTGGAAAGAAATTTCCCAGGTTTGTTTGATTTGCTCTCTATGTGTGGACAGCACATTGGTTTTCGTTTTTTTTTTTTTTCATTTCTAACATGAAAGTTCATCCCTCCAACTCTGTGCAGCAGCCTTGTATATTACTGTGTTCAACTAACATAGCTGCAGAATTCAATTCTCATTTCCCTTCATGACTGTCTCTTATTCTACTCTTCCACCACTTTGTATCTCAAACTGTCTTGATTGATACATGAAAATTCTTGCTGCAGATCTTAAGACTTTTGATTCATGGTGTAGTGTGGGTTCTGGATTTTTTGGTCTTTTTCCCTTTCTCTGTTTGTTTGTGGTTTTTGTTGTTGTTACATTACTAACCAGATTACTCTTGCTTTTGCCTGGAATGTAGCTTTCACTATATAGTGCCTTACTCATGCCTCAATGATGTGTGCTATTACCATTTATTAAAATGGCAATAAAATGTCATATCAGTTTCAGGCTGAATTTTCTTTCTCAATCACTGTGTTAAGCTTTGGTTTTTGTGTTGGAGAAGCACCAAGCACTGCTGGGTACATCCATCACCATGAGAGAAGGGGCATGCACTGCCTGCCATCAGTGGATGGGGAGCTATGGAGCGCATAGCCCCCAGATGGGTCTGGTCCATAGGAGACATGATTCTGTCTCTGCTCTTTGACAGCCATGTAAGGAGGGCAGTTTGATACACCAGATTTCAAAAGGTCCAGAAGTGTTATTAAACTGTGGGGAGGGAAAGGTGTTTTCCCTGGCAGCAGCTACCCTTAAATTGCTGAGAGTTGTGGTTCTGCTTGTTTTCAATTTAGCTGCCTTAAGAGACTTTGAGTGTTATTCACCTGGCAGACACATGCAAATCCAAACTTTTTTTTTTTTTCCCATCCATCCCTAAATTTCAAAGGCAATGAATCACACTGTAGTGCCTTACTGGAAAGGTAAGGCTCATCTGGCCAAATGCAGTGATCTGGGTTTTAGGTCAGATGAACTCCAGCTGTCAAGCTGTTGAAATATGCTTTGTAGGAAGAAATAAATCTACAATTTAAACTATTCATGCTTGACAGGGAGAGTAATTTGTTGTTGGAACAAAATGCTAAAAGGTGTTGTAGATTCTCTATTGTGTGAGGTTTTCAAATTAAGACTGGCTGCCTTGCAAAAAGTTATTTCAGTTAAACTGCACACTGCAAGTCTCACTTGCAGGAGGAAATTCCCAGACCTCTCCATTGCAGGAGGTCAAGTTAACAGGATTTGTCCCTTCTCACCTTAAAACCTATGAGATTTTAAATGCAATATGAAAGTGGCCATGTATTCAATTCCTCTAGGTTCTTGTCTAAGATTATTGCTGCAGGTGCTTTGACATTTTTGGTACATCTTGGGAAGCTTTTCCAGGTCTCTTTGCTCTATTCCATCTATAGAATGGCAGCAGAAGTGCTGACTTCTTCCAAACCCTGCTCTGTTTCACCTTGTGGGAGCATGAATCAAAGGCTGCTTGGCACTGCAGTGTGGATGGGAGAATAGCAGCCTCCCTTTCTGCAGCCCTTCCATCTCAAACAGAGTTTCAGCTCTCCATTTGGCAGTGGTGGGTGCTGGGGATGTAGGAGCTGGCTGCATTTGCTGAACACCTCCAGGCAGGTCTGGTGGGGCTGTACCAGGGCAGGTTTCAACATGTACCCAAAGCAGATCAGCACTGACGCATCATCTGCTTGCTGTCTTCCCTTCTCCCCACCACCTACACCTTGGTGAAGAAGAGAAATAAATAAATGAGAGGAAGACAACAAGGAGAATGTGCTCTCAGGCTAAAGATTTCTGACCAGTATACACCTCTGAATTTATAAGAAATATGCTAAGACGGTGGTTTTGTTGGCTGCAGGATCACCAATTGCCTTAGCCCTTTTCAGGGAATTTGCCCAGTTTCTGTTTTCCAGATCTCCTGCTCTCCCTCCTCCCCAGGATATCCACTTGCATCCTATAAATTCCGCTGCTGGCCAGGAACCAGCTGAATGAAACCTGGGATCAGAGAAACTTTCTCTAAAATGTCCATTGCTCCTCTACATTTCATCTCAAATGAAAGTGTGTTTGACTTCTTTTTCTTGCTTCCATAAAAATCTTTCAATTAAAGCACCGACACAGCTCATTTGTGCCTCAGTCCATGGGTCTGGCCCAGACAAACTGTCTCCCAGGACCTGCACGGCTGTGTGACACCTGGTTTCACAGCTGGTGACATAACAGGGAGCAGGCTCCCTTTGAATGAAGGTAACCACCCTGGCCCAAGGGCCTGGACTTTGGGATGAGCCCTTCCTCCTGCCTCCAGGACAGCTAAAAATAGCTGCTGCCTTGCTTGCCCAGCAGCCAGTGCCATGCATTCCCACAACGGTTGCTTGGATATTGGGATATGACTTGGTCTCCCTCATGTGTTACTCTGGTGAGGGCCAAAAATCTGTAATCTGGGTATAAGATGTGAGAGTCAAGTATTACTCATTGGACATTAGACTTTCCAGTTCATTAGAACTCCAGTGCTCCCATTTAACCACCTTCAGGAGAGAAAAGATGTCCCTGAGTCCTGTAACATTCATCACATAGAGCGTGGATGCAATGTCTAAGAACAGGGTGGGATAGAGAGATAGTTGGGGCTCTGGTCAGGTCTTGTTGTCCTAAAACCCCTTTTGCTCCTTGGAAACTACTGTGTATAGAGTAGCTATACATTTGTGGACAAGATTGACTCCCATCTAATTTGGGACATTCCGTGTTTACCCACTTCCCAGCGTCTGGAACGCCACTAGCTCTTTAAATTCAGCACTCTATTCCTGGTGGAAACACAAGATAAGAGAATGTCCTTTATCTATAAGCAACAGGGCCAGAAAGTGACACATTTCCAGAGCTCTCTCTGTGTCTGTTGCCTTCAAGGTCTATGTACTCCAAGTGCTGAGCAGACATCAGACACTGCAGCCCAGCCCTGTGCCTACCCTGATGAACAGCTGAGCTTAAGAAATGTGCCACAGGAATGAATGTTCCTGATAGTGGGATGATAATTGTTCTTCCAGACAGAGGAGAGAGATGCTGGTGTCTCCAGACAAGAATGGTGGAACGATTAGAAGATTTTTGTGTTGTCTTGGGAGACCTGACAGTGTTTGTAAGAGTGTTTGAAAACCCATCAGAGGAGGCAGGTGCAGAAGGTATCTGAGCTCTGCAGCATGAGACAAGCACAGTGCAAAGGGGACAAAAAGCAGCTGAGAGAAGACTGGGAGCCCATGACTCTGCTCTGACTGGCAAGTGACAGCAGGAACTTCCCCTGAGTCCATCTGGAAAGGGGAACTGAATTTCTTCATTGACTATGCTGACTGTGGGCTCAACTCAGATGCCTAGGTGCAAGGGTCAGGAACCATTTGAGATGCCCTGGGTCATCCCACCTGGCTCTAGCTTCCACTCCAGAGGGGCTGAGGTCTCCTGCAGGCCCCATGTCACAAGTCCAAACCTCACACAGATAGCTTTAAGAGTCCTATGTGTGTGCAACTGGATCAGGTCCTGGAGATCACTGAACTGGGGTGGAATTCCTGCCTGGAAACTGTGGCCTGGGCAGAGGCAGAAACTCAACAAATCTCCATGGTTCCCCTGCTTTTGTGATAGTGCACCCATTTCCACAGAGGCATAGGAGTGGTACAGGGAACAGCTGAAAGGTCTGCCTGCCCCTGCACCCAGTCACCAACAACAGCTGCTTACACCTCCCTATCCTCTTTAGGAATGCTTCAAGAGGGAGCAGCAAAAAACACATGCATGAGGTGTCTTTTGAGCTTCCAAACACTCTTGGTCTGGTTTGTGACAGACTTCATTGAAACCAACTCTCTTGAGGAGCTGGAGTAATGCTGCATTTACGTAGTAACCAAAATGAGTTTGTTGGTTTATATAGGGAGGGGAAATCTCATACACCATCCCAAGGAGAAACACTGATATTGTCTCATAATTAATAGTTCTTTTTTTCTAATTTTCTTGCCAGAAGACAACTTTCCAGCTAGGCAGGTTTAGCCTGTCCCAGGAGATCTTAAACTCTTTAAAATTGTATTTAGGAGTATAGGAGCACCTTCCTGAAGAACCTGTCAGGGAATACCCTAGATGTGAGGTTTCTGGCTGCTCTCAGTGGCAAATGGTCCCACATGGATGTTTCCTGCCAGGCATAGCAGCTAAGGC